TAGTGAGTTCCAGGACAGCTGGGGCTACAGGGAGACCCTGTCTCCAGAAAACAAACAAAAGTGGAGAGCCACTGAGGAAGACAACCAATGCTGACCTCAGCCTACACACACACACACACACACACACACACACACACACACACACACACACACACACACACACACACACACACACATACCACAGAGAGTCTAAGACCACAGTCTTTCTTCACTCTTTACTGTGTAAAAATAAACTCAACAATTCATGTCATCTCAGCAAGAAAATGGGAAAAAAAGAAAGAAAGCAAGAATACCAGTAGAAATAGAGCATTTCCAGAATGGCTGATGGGAGGGGATTTTTTTTAACCCCTTTGATACCCAAAAGGCTGCAGATTGTATGAAAAATGTACAGCTTTGGTTAGCAAATAATGAAAAAGTAAGATACATCAATTCTCTCCTATTTTACAGTATGTACATTGTAACAATATCAACTCTGGGGGGTTGCTTTTTTTGGCAAATAAGACAAAATTGGGACTCTAAGTATTGGGCTTTTGTTTCTCAATGACTTGTTCCCTTTTAACAAATTGCACGTTAAGTCCACTGCGCACAGAAGCAATACATTTCCCGTCAGTAGCTGAGTAAATTTGCACGCTGTGTTTTAAGAGATGAAGTCACGACTGCTTCAAGCCACACTTGGATTCCTAAGGGTTCTAGGCCCCTGATGCTGACCATAAGAACTCTAGTTTCTTCCAGCAAGGTTGGAACTGGAATTCAAATCCTCAACTCATTCCACTTAACCAGTCAGCTCCAGGACAGAGCCCACCATCAAAAGCCTTTTTTGATCTCCTAGTCCCCAACACACCTTTGAGAACTGGTGGCCCCTCACTGGAGCTCATTGGGATGGCTATGAACCTCAGGCCAGCCTCTCCTTCCCCCTCACTGCCCACAAGACACCCCCTTGTCTCAGGTCCCAGGGCTGGTGACAAAGTGATCTTTGCAGTCTTAGAAAATAAACTGGAAATCTACAAAAGGAAAAGAAAGCATACAAAATGTATCTCTTTCTTCCAAAATACATGCTTTCAGTCCTACATTTTGGCGGAGCCTGAAAGTATCTTCGAGGGAGATATAGGTTGAGATAATTTATAGGTTTGTCCTATTCATTCATAAAAATACTCTTGTTTGGTAATAAACTTTTTCTTCTACAGTAAGAGAAATAATACTGTGTTATCAAAAGCAAGAAGGCTTATTCAAGTGGGATCTCAGCCCCCCAAGGCCCGGGGAGCCTCCGTGGCAGCTCTCCCACCCCGACGCCCAGGGTGCTGTCCGACACCATCAGCAAAAGCAAACACTGTCTGGACAGTGTGTTTTACCTTCTGGTTTTATAAAATGGCTTACCTGAGAGAGGCATGTATTATTCAGTGCAAGGGGAACATCAATCAGATTACGGAGTCGATGGAAACTATGTGGATTAGATTTGTGGCTGTCATCTACCTTTCTTGAGGCCAGCAAAGTGCCAAGTGTGAACACAGTGAAGGAGGGGAGGGGCTTGGCACGGACTCCAGTTAGGGGTGGGGCGGGAGCTAGGTGTAAGCTTCTGTCCCTGGCACCATGGGTGCGACAGGGGAGAGGAGAAGGGAGGAGGGGCCGATAGGCAGAAGGGCAGAGGCATAAGCACTAGGGTGTGCTCTGCCCTCTAGCCAGGGCAGAGGATGGCTTGTGGTCCTGAACGGACAGCTCCCACCTCACCTATCTGGGTGCAGGTGGTCTGGGGTCCGCATTGGCAGGGGCTGGGGCTGGTGGCAGGGGCTGGCAGGAGTGCACCGGGCACAGCCGGCTCTGGGCTTTGCCTGATGGTGGCTCCCAGACGGCTAGAGTGAGGGTGGGGCTCGATCTGGTCTGGAAAGGTGATCCAAGCTCGTGCTCTCTCTCCCAACCATGGGGACCATTCAGGCTTGTGCTCAATCTACATGTTAGAGATACTTCCTGGTGTGTCTGGGGAGAGGGAGGAGAGAGGGACTCTGATCTCTCTCTTGACCTCCCAGACACCCCTGGTTTGTTTACCCAGCCGTTTTACGGTAGCTACATGGGTGATCACAGAACACTGGGCAGCACTCAGCACACAACACAGAACCGGAGAAGTCCATGCAGGCAAGGGAACACGCATAGGACCAAAGGAGCAAGGAACACACCACCCCGAGGAACATGCAAACAGGAGATCCCCGCAGATCCAAGGATGCCACAACCCAACGGGCACTGAGGAAGCACAATTATCTAAGAAAAAGCCACTGCTAGACGACAACATGCGGCATGCCGCCTGATCCGCACCCTCTGTGAGAGCGATGCGCCACAGAACGGCGACCGGGAACCGTGCAGACACCCACGAGAACGGTGACACAAAGACACTACACAGACACAACAGATGCACTAGGTTCAGACACAACACAGACCTGTGTGGAAGGAGACAGGTACCCCTGGAAGGAACAGCAGGTGCACGACCTGCTCCTGTTAAGGAAGTGTCTGCAACTGCAGACGGGCCAGGCAGTGCGTAGGTTTCTAGAAAGACTTGCCAGCCTTTTGCTAGTCAGGCTACCGGAGACAAAGTCCAGGTGTCCTGGGCAGGGGGGATGCCCACCAGATGTAGGACAAAGCAGGGGTTCACTCAACCCTGGACACAGCCTCCTGAGCACTCTGTCATTCAACACACATGTGCACACCTGCACACCACACACACCACACACACACACTTTGCACACACACTCCCAGAAGGCGCAGAAGGGCCTTCATGCTGCTTTCCATAAGGAAAAGTCACAGGTCTGGACATGAGTCAGGCTCAGTGTCACAGGCCAGCAGAAGATTGGGGCTACTGAGGGGTTTGTGCCCCATGAAATGCAGGAGCAGGTGGCAGGCCCCACCCTGGCCAGTAGGCTCCACATGAGAGGTCTCTGAGGCCCTGGCCCCTGGGAGGGGTCTGAGCCAGCTCACCTGGGCTTGGGTGTGCTGGGAGGGGTATGGCTGTGAAAAGTGCCAAGGGAGGATGTTCCCATGGACTGTGGGTCAAGTCTCAGTGCCCTCTGGGGCTGATGTCAATCAAGTACATGAGATCCCCATTTGAAACTTCTGGTCTCTCATGTCCAGAGGGAAGGAGGGTGGGACTGTGGTGGGACACTCCTCTCTCAGAGCCACTGAGCTGATACAGCACAGCTCTGGAGACTGAAAGGGAGCAACAGGCCCTAGCCTCATGGGATACAAGGAGGCAGAAGGCTGAGTGGGGTGCAGTCCTGGGACAGAGCTCACTCTGCCTTCAGATGCAGAGAGCGGCCATCCTGGTGGGACTGGGTGGTGCCAACCCAGCACAGTGGGCCTTCCACCTTCAGAGGATCCACTTGTCACCCCAGGTAAAAATTCTCTGAGGAAAGGTGCCCCAGCCTGAACAAATCACTAGAAGATACCACGTCAACTGAGAGCTGTGTCACTCTCAAAGAGGTCTACAAATGAAGATAAACTCACGTGCCAAAGCTGCACCAGACCCAAGACTGCAGGCAGCCGACCAGGTGGGCAAAGACAGACTTCTGACCCATCGTGAGATTTCCCAAAACCACGAGGATGGAATGAAAGACTACATTCTGAAAGAATAGCCTCCCCCAGACATATGCATGCACACACACGCTCTCTCACCTAATTCTGCATTGTCAAAGCTGATGTTGCCTGCTTTAGCTGGGCATGCCTGGGAAACAGTCGGGCTCCTAGGGAGAAGTGGGTGTCCTCAGGGCCAGAGGAGAGCCAGGACTGATTCGTGTGCACAAGGAGGACAAACCAGGCTGTGTGCGTGTGCGTGTGCAGGGGCCATGGCCTTGAGTCATTCCTGGGGAGGGGGCAGAAGAGACGATGGGTCATCACCGCACAAGCAGGGTGGGCAGGTGAGAGGCTGGGGGCTCAGCCCTCGCCTGAAGCCTTCAGTTGATCTGGCGACAGGCCTCGAATGTCCACTTGGTGGCTCCACCGAAGATCTCAATCTGAGACTCAGCCCAGGCGATGACATTGCCGGAGAGGGCCTTGGTGCTGCAGGTGGCCAGGTTGTACACCTCCCCAGGGGTCAGCTTGCGGTCCCAGATGTTGAAATGGGCCAGCTCACCCACAAACGCTTGGGTGGCATCAAACCCGCCACCTAGAGTGTCCTTTGGAGAAGGAGGTGGGGGGGGATAAGGGAGGGGTTGGCTGGGTGACATAAGGACTAGCTGAACTCATGGCTAGGGAGTGAACCTGTGCCTCCCCCCACCCCCTGAATACCCAGTATCATTTTCTCTCCTGCGCCTGGGTCTTTAGCCATTGCACCTGTCCCCCACTTAGAGAAGCCCAGAAGAAGGATTAGTGCCAGCCCACCCTGGTCTCCCTTCCACCCCTGCAGAGATCATCCCCCAGAGGCCCTGAGATACGGCCCTTCATGCAGCCAGTCCCTGGGGAGGATGAGCAGAGACCATGGACAACCAAGGCAGCAGGGTCTCAGGCCCCTGTAAGCTGAACCATGCACCAACAGGAATGGAAGGCCTGGCTTCCTGTCCCGTCATCTCCCTCCCAGGTGCCCAATGGGAGATGAACCACTCCACAGGAACTAAATTATTCATTGCTAAAAGTGGAACTGGGCTTCCCATGCCAGAGAGAGGGCCGCTGCAGTTCCAGAGAGTGCTGGAACCTGGGCCCAGTCTGTGGTGCTTCCTGAAGTCCACTCAGAGCTGGGCTTTGCCTGACTGCCGTGTGACTTGCTACCTCCATCCTCCCTTTCCCCCTCCCTCCCTCTGCCCAGGCCACTACCTGCTCCTGACCCAGCACCAGCACACCCTGAGGCTTGATGGGGTGATAGGGAGCCAGGTTCTCGCCATTGCCGCCCTGGGTGCCATCTTGGTAGGCCTCCCAGACCCCATCCCGGGTGGTCCAGGTGACGCAGATATGATGCCACTTGCCATCGTTGATTACAAAGGGCAGCTTGGCCACCTGAGGAGGATGACATACACATTATGGGTGCTATAACCTGGTGTTACCCAGCGCTGAGGATGCCCACAGGCTCCGCTGTGATTCTCTTCGCTTTGATTTTACAATTAATGTTGGGCCGTTACTGAACCCTCACAGAACTAACTGTCCCTTCAGACATCAGCATCCACCAGCCACGGGTGGGCCATGGCGTCACATTAGAAATGGAAAACTTTGCCAAGGGGCCTCTGAGAGCCATCTGGGCACACGCTGCCTCCTCCTCCTTCCCCTCCCCCCGCTCCCTCATAGCTAGTCTACAAAACAAGCTTTGGACAGAGTGCAGGTCCCTGGCAGCTGAGTTTACTGCAGTCTCTGCCCCACCCCCTCAACTGGGCCTCTCTTCTCTTCCAACACTCCATCCCCAGCTGCTAGGTCCTCTGGTCTACACTGCCTGCAACCAACCTCTGCAGAGACTGAGTGAGGCTATGGGAACTATGCCATGCATGTGGAAGCTGACTAGCCAGTACAGGAAGCTCATGCCCCCCTCCAGCCCAGGCAGGGGGACAGTGTAGTGCAGGAGGGTCAGACCTCACACCCTTTACATTTGGGCAAACAGAGTCAAGGAAAGCACAGTGCTTTCTAGGCCACAGCACTAAGAACAAGAGCTTGGGATCCCGCTCCTAGCTGGGTTTGAGCCGTTTACTACCCATGATGGAGGCAGAGGAAGGCACTGAAAGCTGGCAGCTAATTCCACTAACCAGAAGGGGCAGAATGGAGCCGGGTTCATTAGAAAGAAAATGACTGCCTCTTCTGGGGTGAAGGGGCTTGGCCTCCTCATGTGCAAATGGGCAAAGTTGGATAGTTCTAGAAAAAGCAAGAATCTGGGGCCCCTTGCCCCCTAAAGTACCCAAATATGGATAAGTCAAGCCAGTTAGAGCCAGCCTGTGGAGGAGGAGCCAGGATATCAGCAGGGTGGACTGGAACTTTCCGAGGATTGTCCTCAGCCATCCCTCCCCATCTCTCCTCTCCTTCCCCTCCCACCAAGGCCTCTCTCTGGAACATTCCAGCTCTCCTTGTTTTTTGATGGAGGGCAGGTGAGGATGTCCCTCCCCGTTTCTGGTCTGATTCAGCTTCTACCTCCCTCAGTCTTCCTGGGCAGACATTTAAAGCCACATCCCTGACAATCATCCCCTCATCCCAGGGTTCTAGGGGACCTCCTGTTCCACAAGCCCTGGTGTATGACTACATAGCCCTGATGACACCCCAGGGTTCTGGGGGGACCTCACCCTGTTGTCACAAGTCCTGGAGGGGTGGTGGCATTACCTTGTCGTTGATGAGGATCTCCATGGGGTTGTTGCCCCACTCGATGAGGACCAGCTCGTTAGCCTGGCCAGGCACAGCATAAGAGAAGGGTGTGCCCACACCGGGCGCTGCGCTGGACTTGAGCCACATGCACACAGTGAAGGCATACATCTCCGGCAGGCTCTTCCTCACCTTGGCATACATGTAGTTGGTTCGTAGTGGGAAAGTCAGCTGAAACTTATCTCCAGGGCGATTGTCTTTCTGACCTGGGAAGGACAAGACCCAGCCCTGCCATCTGCACCTTGACCAAGAGCTTATGGTACGAGTCCTATTTGGTCCCCATCAAGCCCCGTGACGCAGACAGGGCACAGAGCCAGCTGGCAAAAAAGCTGACCCAAGGTCTCTGCACTCTGGGCCTGGCCAGCTCTCTCTGCCACATGGTGCCATCCCTGGGTAGGCCAGGGCGGGGGAAGAGCACAGGACATCGTGTGAGAACCTGCTCTGGGCTGAAAGGTGAGTGTAGTGTGCAAATGGGGCCTGCCTCAGTGCTCACCAGAGCACTGAATAAGAAGGTATGGCTGCAGGGGAAGAAGGAACCAGGCTAGGTCCCCTTGGAGCAGCCCCTTTGGGGGCTGACCTGATTTCAGATGGTGATGGTAGTCAGAACCTTGTTTGTCCTGCTCTCGATGCTCACCCAAGACGACCAGCCCTGGTGGCCTACCTCCTTCCTTGAGGACAGTACATGCCGCAGTCCATCACTTAGCCCTTCTGCACAATCCCATGCATCTTTCAGAGGTAGTTGCAGACCTCCCTCAACTCATCCAGCCATACTGCCTGACACTTGCTGAGAGGCAGGACAGCTGGGGAGGTCAGCCTCCACTGAGCCAGGGCCCCCAAGGTGACTGCTTTGAAGATGCCACACAGCCTCTGATGAGCCTCCTGGAAACAGGCTCCAGGCCTGGTACCCCCACCAGCTTCCTGCCAGTCAGCCCAGCCAGTATCCCCCCCTGGGAATGCCCAGTTTTCACCGCCCATCTCTATATCCCCTGTGGCTGTGGCCCTGAGCCTGCTGTGACTGACTCCCAGGAAATTGATTCCTCTCCAGCAGTGGGCACCCACCCATCCAGAACCTCAGAATGCACCCACTCTGTCAGATCCTGCTTGCTGCATCCCTGCACTCCCACCTCAGAGCCCAGGAAGAAAGAAGCTGGTCCCCAAACCTAGAGAGACTTCTAGAAAGCATGGGGGCAGGGGAGAAGCCCCTTCCTCCTCTAAGCCAGGTGAAAGGCAGGGCCGGGCCGCCCCTCAGTGCAGCCCCTCCTCCCCATTCGGCTTCCTAGTGGGGGTAGGGGAACCCAGTGCCTGGCACCTGAAGTTTTTTCATTCCTGAACCTCCCCTCCCTCCCGGCTCTTCTCTCTCCCTCCATAGGTCCCTCTTTCCCCAGATCTGTTTTTCAGTTACATAACACGCCTTAAGATGGCACTGTTTAAATCCATCCGGCACATTTTGCGGTCCGAGCAGGGTCACGTGGCCCTGCTCTGAGCCCGAGCACCCCCTCCCCCCTTTTACAACCTTGTTTGATTTCTGTGGCATCTGGACACAGCTCATCCATACACCCAGGTGGGTGCTAGGGGCCAGGCTGAGTTAGTGACCGGGGCAAATGTAGGGGCATGCAAAATGCCCAGGCTTGGGTCAATGAGAAGATAAAATTAGGAAGAGGAGGCTCGAGATGTGGTGGGGGGAGGGGCTGGCAAGCCTGAGAAGCCACCAGAGGCACTGGGGAACTGGGGGAAAGGTACTCAGTGGCCCAAGAGGATGGATGTCCAGTTCTTCGCTGGCGACAGATTCCAACTAGAACAAGGCTTTCCTTACCAAGGAAGCTTGGGCCAGAGACAGCTACCGTGCAAAGTTACTGAAGATGAAACAAATCAGACTTGAAAAATCCGAGTGTGTCTTAACTGTGCACCACACAATCCCTTCTTAAGCTCCGCTGCTTCCCCAGGCGAGGAAATCTCCAGCCTGGGAACCAGACAGGAAGCTCGGACTTGGGGAGGGGCTACGGAGTGGGTCCAGGGGTGCTAGAGAGCTTTACAGCCCCTGGCCGGGCAGGGGGCAGGACCCGGGCAGAGTCCCTGGAGCGACAGGAAGGACCACGGCCCCCCTGAGCCCTTACCTTTCTCCAGCTCGCTGATCCTCTGGTGCAGGGAGGTCAAGGCGCTCTCGATCTTGACCCTCTCCTCCGTGTCGTTCTTGGGGCCCCCCTTGCCCTCCTCCAGCGTGTTCACCCGAGACAGCACCTGCCGCTCCAGGTCATCGATCTTGCTCTGCAGCAGATCCTTGAGGCTGTTGGTCTGGCTGGAGGAATTGAGGCGGCTGTACTGCTGCGGGGGCACAAGGGCAGGGGAAAACCACACGGTTACGCGTGGAGCCGGGACCGTGCGCCGAGGCCAGGCGGCCCGGTCCCCGGGGCGACTGCGGGGGCGGCCCGGGCGGGGAGCTCCGGCGAGCGGCCGCCCGCGGCGCCCCGCAGGCTCCGGGAGGCGCGGGTCCGGCATCAGCCCGCGGTAGAGGCAGGGAAGGGGGCGGGCCGGGTCGGGATGGGGTGGGCGAGGGCAGAGGGGCGCAGGGCGCGGAGGGGGAACGGCGGTTCACGCGGACCTCGAGGTTCTCCAGGCGGGTTTTGAGCGACTGCAAAGTTTGGCCGAGTTGGCTGAGCGTCTCGGCGGCGGGCGTCCGGGACAGGTCGCCCATCGTGTTCTTGCCCGACCCCGGCTGCTTGCGGCCGCCGCCAGCCCTGGCCTCGCCCGGACCCACGTCCAGCGTGCTCTGGCTCTCGCAGCGGCCGAGCTTGGTGGTCAGCTCCCGGATGGTCTCCTTCTGGCTGAGGATGGTCTCCTTCTGTTGCAGCACAGTCTCGCGGAGCTGCAGGACGTTGCTCCGGAGCTCCTCCGCGCCGCCGGCGGCCACGGACGCGGCGCACATGTCGGCGTCCACCGGCACCGAAGTGCAGATGAAGCGCGTCGGCCCGAAATCCTGGGCCCGGCTGCCCAGGAGGCACAGGGTGAGCAGCGCACAGGTGCGCGCGGCACAGCGGGCCAGCATGGCTGCAGACGCCTGGCGCGCCCCGGCTCGGCTCGGCTGGGGCTCGGCTGGGGCTCGGCTGGGGCTGGGACCCGGCTCCGGCGGGCGCTCGCAGGCTGCTCCGGCTACACCGTCAGCACCGCCGCGCTCCTCGGCCCCCACTGCCGCCTGCGCTGCGGAGCCCGCGCCTTTTATGCAGCCGCGGGAGGGGCCTCGGCGCCGCCGACGTCAGCGGGGGAGGAATCCCGCTTTAATTGTGTGCGGCCGATGCCCGCCGCACCGCGGGGGTCGCAGGGGAACCCGGCTAGGGCTACCTCGGCCCGCCCCCACTCGGCCTTCCCTGGAGCCGCCGCCGCCCCCTCCCACCGCCTCCGCCTGCCCACCCCCGCCGCTTCCCCGAAGGCTGCCAGAGCCCAGGGGGAGTTCGGCCACGGCCTGCTGGAGAGCGTGGCACACCTTCCCGGTGCCTCGGGCTCTCCGACGGGGCTCGGAGGGGATGGGAGACAGGATTCGGCTCGGCTCGCTGGGTTGCACTGAGCCTTTGTGGGGTCCGGGCTCCGAGCATTCACACCCTCCCCAACGTCGGTGTGCCCAGTGGGCAGAGTGGGGCCAGAAAAGGAATCTGGGGGTGGGGGGCCGCCACGTTTCTTAGATGTCCTTGTGGGGTTGAAAGCCACGAGTCACTCTGAGTCTGGGACTCCTACGACCTGGTTCCCGGCCCTCTAACTCCCTTTGTAAGTCCCAATAATGTCCCCAGGGACCGAGAGCCCCCACCTGGTACTGGCAGGGGCTGGGAACTTCTCGGAGGCCGCCTTAGCGGATCGAACCCTTCCTGCCTTCAAAGCCAGCCTAGTTCCAGGCAGGCGGCGCCCCGGAAGCTGACTGGGCACCCGAGGAGGGACCCCGCGGGAGCACTTTCCCGAGACCAGCGTGCCGGTGCGCTCTGGGTGTGTCTGTGTGTGCGTTCCACCAAAGCCCTGCCTAGTCCATTCCTCAGGCTTCTGGACGTCGGCGAGGGGGTCCCCCCAAGTGGACAGGGGCTTCTCACCTGCAGAGCTTCGCACTCACAGGCACCCCACCCCAGCCACCCACACACCCATGCCTTTTTTCCTGGGTGGCGGTGCTGCCTAGCTCGGATTCCAGTCCAGGTTCTGTAGCTCCTGGGGGCGCGGGACCAGGGCCTGGGCCTCTGCTGGCCCCCACTTCGGAGCCAGAAACAGGCAGTATTTACAGTCCAAGCTCGCAAGATACACAGAAGGAAAGTAAGGCGGGGAGATTATAAATCGGGTTCCAGATAGGTGACAGGACGGCCCCGGGCCAAAGCAGGCCGCCCAGCTGACCGCACCCTCTTCCCTCTCCGGTCACTCTGAAGCCTTCGGTTACCCTGCAGCCTTTAACTGGGCGCCGTGATGGGCCAGACTGGGTCCCTATCGTAAGGCCCCAGCCCAGGACCCACAGGCAGCCTCCAGATGTGGAGCGTGGGTTTCGCCCGCGGTGGGAACAGAAGCCAGACTAAGACGCCGGCATCACCCTCTCCGACCTTCCTCCTAACGCCCCTGGCCCCAGGCCCGGGGGCGTCCCACGGGGGCGTCCCGCAGACTCTGTTCCCCGTCTTGGTCTACCCTCCCGGGTCAGGGCTACGAGCCACCGTGGCTCCTGCTTGCCCAGCGCATCACCTGGGCCTCCGCTTCCGGGCGCCAGAGGGACCCCGCGGCCTGCACGCGGCGGTCCTCCGCTGGGCGCTGGCGGGGAGCGCGGAGGAGGGAGCCCCTGCCCGCCCACTGCCCTGTGCGGAGCACCGAAGCCCGCAGCGTCTCGCGCCCGCGCGCCCCCCTGGTCTCTTCCCCAGCCCCAGGTCGCCCGAGGGTCTGGCCGTGCGCCTACCCACGCGGGGCCTGCGCCTGCGGCCGCACTGGCGAGGCGGAACTCCGGAAGAATTACCCGCGCCAGGGGCGCCGCGCTGCTTGGAGACATCTGCCTCCAACTCCGGACCTAGAGCGGACGCACGCGGGGACCTGCTCAGGGCTTCGACCCTTTTGCACCCTCCCCATCCGTCTAACGGGAAGCGGTCCAGACCCGGCCCTGCAGCGAGGCTATCCCGGCCTAGAGTGCGTGGGCGCGGGAGACGAGCCTGGTCCTTCCCCGGCAGGCTGTGCAGATGGAGCTGGAGCGCTTAGCTAGGTTTTGTGCCTTGAGCCCCAGGAGCCGCCTCAGGACTTAAGACTTTTACCACGAGAGAGACCTCGGCGGCCTGGCACCTCAGCAGCTAGGCACTGATGGAGGGTGATCCTTCGGCAGAGGATGGGAGGGGGCCGTCAGAGGGTCCTGGGATGGAGTCCAGAGTGGGTGAGACCTTTGGGACTTGTGGCAGTCCAGGGTTCAGTCCATTTGGCCACCATTGTGGAGCAGTCTGACGCCAGAAGGCGCTATGCCGGACCCCTGCCGGCCCTGCCCAGCCCAGGTGGGTAACCACACTGGCAGTTGAACTCAAGACCCTGGGTAGGGAGTGGCCATCCTGGTCTTTATGGAGTTGGCTCTGCCTCCCATTGCTCTGAAATGTCTAGGAGGGAAAAGGAATGAAGGCCCACCCTGCCCCAGACCATCAGAGGAGGAATCCAAGGGGTCTGAGCAGCGGGTGAGAAGGGGCTGCTTACATGGACACACCTAGCTGTCTGTGTCTGGCCTGGGCCCCACACCCCAGATCCCAGAGCTGAGGTGAGGAGGGAGTCCCAACACTCCCACCTGGGTCTGTGGACGGAACACCACACCTGGATTTGGAAGCCTTGTGGCTTAGCCCCATGCAAAGCCCACAGATAAAGGCAAGAACAGAAAAAGTAAGAAGCACTAAAACAATTAGGAAGTGATGCATTCGGAGTGCGTATAGCTTAGTTTTTATTATAATCATTTCATTGTAAGTTTATATAATTAAAGCCTTAGTGATGGCTGTGTTTATCAGTTTGCAAAATTCCTGAAGGTTGAATAGTCATGGTCCTGGGCTCTACCACTGGGGGAGGAGCAGTTCTCACCCGGTATAGAGAAGGCCAGGGGGCAGGAGGTAAATTTTGGTTGAGAGTTGATGGCTGGGGCCAGGGTAGAAAAGGTATGCATACACAGAAGGACTACACAGGGACGCTGGGCAGTCCGAGGACTTCAGTGCCCATCAGGATCTTCATCCAGTAGGGAGTGGGAGCTCACCCAGGGGTGTGCCCAAGCCCCATGCAACAGCACGCCATGACTATGAACAGGTCATGAGAGAACCACCACCCTCAGCAGGACAGGATTCCCTGAGGAGGACAGACATATGTGGGGTTGGGAGGATCTGGAACAGTACAGGAGATGGGCACCAGCTCCCCAAACTCCTACCTCTGAGCCCTCCCCTTCTGGGGAGAAGCTGGGAGAGGTAGACTGGGTAGAGAGAGGCCCAGGGACCCCAGAGAGAGCAACTCCTCCCTGATCACAGCTTTGGGACACAGCGCACAGAGCCAGGACCAGGCCCTTCTGGGGGATACCCCATGTTTGCTGTAGATGTTCTGATATCCCATGTAGGGTGGAGGACACCCTACTGAGAAGGAAGTGATTCGGTTTTTTCCTGTCATGTTTCAGTGTTGTATGGGGGAGGGGTCTGCTGTTGTCACCAGGCCCACGGTGCTGGCTGTGTTCGATTTCTCCACTGGTTTCACAAGGATGTTTCCTGTGTGACTGTTCATTGGGTACCACTGGTACATTCTATGTGGTTACATTCCTCACACAAGGTATGGGGGAGAAATAGCCACAGGCAGCACCTTGTGCGCTTCTTACTACCTCCTAGAAGACAAGAGGAACCTGGCAGGTGAGCCTTGAGGATGCAGCCAGGACATGTAAAACTCCTTATCCATGAAGCACCCTTGGGATGGAGGGGTGGGTGTGGGGTTGCTCTGAAAGCAGCCAGCCTCAGCGGCCTCTGAGTCACAGCCTCAGCCCACCTGTGCCTCAGAGTCACTCTGACAGGCCCCACCCACCAGCTGTGAGGCAGTGCACAGGACCCAGCTGGCAGGTTGTGCTAGGAGAGGTTTCTCCCTTCAGCCCTCCCCTCCTGCCTCTTTTTTGATACCTCTGTGGCCATCACCTTGTCATACAAACAAGCAGTTGCCTTTTTCTTTCTTTCTTTTTTTTTTTTGGTCTTTTTGAGACAGGGTCTCCCTGTAGCCTCAGCTGTCCTGGACCTCTCTATGTAGACCAGGCTGTCCTTGAACTCACAGAGAGCCTCCTGCCTCTGCCTCCCGAGTGCTGGGATTAAAGGTGTGCACCACCACACCTAGCTGCCTTTTTCTTTTTTTCTTTTTTTTTTTTGGTCTTTTTGAGCCAGGGTCTCCCTGTAGTCTCAGCTGTCCTGGACCTCTCTATGTAGACCAGGCTGTCCTTGAACCCACAGAGAGCCTCCTGCCTCTGCCTCCCGAGTGCTGGGATTAAAGGTGTGCACCACCACACCTAGCTGCCTTTTTCTTTTTTTCTTTTTTTTTTTTGGTCTTTTTGAGCCAGGGTCTCCCTGTAGTCTCAGCTGTCCTGGACCTCTCTATGTAGACCAGGCTGTCCTTGAACCCACAGAGAGCCTCCTGCCTCTGCCTCCCGAGTGCTGGGATTAAAGGTGTGCACCACCACACCTAGCTGCCTTTTTCTTTTTAAAAATTAATTTTAAGCCAGGCATGGTGGTGCATGCCTTTAATCCCAGCACTCAGGAGGCAGAGATAGGCGGATCTCTGTGAGTTCAAGGCCAGCCTGGTCTACATAGTGAGTTCCAGGTCAGCTAGGGATACAGGGAGAACCTGTCTCAAAAAAATTTTTTATAGCCAGGTGTGGTGGCACACACATTTAATCCCAGCGCTCAGGAGGCAGAGGCCGCTGGATCTCTGTGAGTTCAAGGCCAGCCTGGTCTGCATAATGAGCTCCAAGCCAGGTGAGGCTACAAGGAGACCCCGTCTCAAAAAAATTTATTATTATTTATTATTATTATTATTATTGTCTGTATGTATGTGAGGTGTGTGTGAGAGTGGGCATGCGTGTTTCGTGGTATGTGTGAAGAAGGTCAGAGAACAACTTGCAAGAGTTGGCTCTCTCCTTCCACTGTGG